TTTATATATTTGAGAGATAAAGAGAGAGCACACACATGCGTGTGCACAGGAGTGGGGAGAAGGGCAGAGAGAGAAAGAGAAGCAGACTCCCCACTTAGCACAGAGCCCAACGCGGGGCTCGATCCCATGACTCTGAGATCATGATCTGAGACAAAGGTAGATGCTTAACTGACCGAGACTTCTGAAAGTCTCGGTCTTTTCTGATGAGAAAGTCTAGAATGAATGATCCATGAGATGTTCTCCAAGAGGACAGGCTTGGAGTGCATGCTTGTGTGGGAGAGAAAGGGAGATGAACTTGGACAGACAGCTGAGTCACAGTAAAGAGGGAGCCCTGTAGGCAGCAGGGAGCCATTAAGAGCTTTTAAGCAAAGGAATGGACAACATGACATTTAAGTCAAGATTGATCTGGTGTGATGTATAGAAAAACTCAAGCAGGGCGACGATGTGGGCCGTTCTGCTTAACACACTTTCACTAAACCCCACTAAACAGTAAACACTCTTTCAGGCCCTGGGGACTTACAAATAAGTGAGAACTAGTCTCTTCCTCAACAACTTATACCACTTGGTGGTAAGTGGGGAACGAGCTAAGATGCTTTTCATGTACCCATTTTTGAAGCCACGAGGGTTAGAGCAGAGCTCCGGCAGTAGAAATGGAGCAGAAACCTCAGCAAGCAAGAGTGGATGGCACCTGGGGCTCAGATTCCAAGTCCTTTATTCACTGGGTCCTGCATCATCTGCTTTTTGCCCTCATCTGTCAGTATTTTTTGCATTTTATTCCCTTCGTTCTCCCTTTCTATCCTCTTCTCTGTAACCAAGGACATTAACCGAACACCGCCAAGTCAAACACCATATTGATTAAAAACCCTGTCTTTTCTGAAGCCATGTGTGTTCTCTGCTCTGAGTGTACTTGATGGTCCTCCCATTCAGTTGTTTCTGTCTCTGAGCAACAACTGTGTGTGTAATCACACACAAAAATTACCTCGAGTTCATAATCGGATGGTCTGCTTAGCTTTTTCATTAAATATCTTCGTTTAAAAATGAAAAAATTAAGGAAACACTAGAGAACAGCCTGACTGACAGGCAGAGACAACAACATTAGAAGGCCTTGTATCAAATGTAACTCCATAAGTCTACCAATTCGATACTATTTAACTCAAGGGTCTACTGGGTGCCAGACACTGGACCCACTGCTGGGATACAGTGAATAAGACACAATTCCAGTCCTGAGAACTTTGAGACCTTAGAGACAGATGATGAAAACTTTGCCTCACCAGAGGTCTCATTCTCTCCAACGCTGGCTCTAGACCACGCCATGATCACTTCTTAACCTGTGCTACCCTCCCGCTTCTACCATTCCCTCCCCCCATTCCAGTCCCTTCACAGGGCCTGAGTGACTCTCTTGAACACAAGTCCTATAATGTCCCCCTCTCCCTTCTTACTCAGTACAGTTCTAAGTCCTTAATCTTGGCCCATAAGGTCCCACGTGATCTGAATTTGATGTCCTCTCCTGCAATTATTTCTCTTACTCCACTCCACTTGACGTCTTTACTGTTCCTAGAATATTCTAAAGATGCTCCCACCTCACACCGTTTTCCTGGTTGTCTATGCCTGGATTTCTCCTACCAAGGCATCTGCCTGATGTGCTCCATCACTTTCTACAGATCTCTGTTCAAAGTTGCCCATCACTGAGCTCTTCTCTGTCTACCTGGCACTCCCTAACCCCCTTATCCTGTCTTACTTTTCCTAAAAGCGTTTACTCAATAAAATGCATCTATCACCACTGGGGACTTACTGTTTACTACCGGCCTCCCCCAGTGGTATTGGAAGCTTCACAAGAAGAGGGTCCGACTGGTTTGTTTTTCTATTCCAGCACCTGAGATGTTGTCTGGCAGGTGCTCAATGGTCGACAAATGCTTCTCGAACACCCTGTATGCATGACTGAGAGTTATGCCTAGGATTAGAGGGGAGCAAAAAGGAGGGTACATGGCATATCCTAGGAGGAAACGGGGGCTCCAAGACAGCTCCCTTAAGCAAGGAATGTTTGGACTGAGACTTTCTTCATTCATATGCTCAGAAAGGCAGTCACTTCTTCAACACATTCCCATAAGAGTTTTGCTATGTGTGAGGCACTAGTCCAGGACTAGGCACATAGCTGTCACAAAGGCTGACATGTCCCTGTTCTTATGAAACTTACAACCGAGTGGGGGAGAGACAATAAGCAAGCCAATACGTGAAAAAGGCAGAATGTCCAATATTGACACTTGCTAGGCAGATAACTGAAAGAGGGTGATGTAAAAGAAATCCCCTAGGTGGTCCCTTTAGAGTGGGTCACAAGGGAAGTGTCTCTAGGAAGTGACATTTTTGTGGTGATCTGGAGAGCAGTAAGAAAGCTCCCATGTGAAGATGAGGCAGTGACCATTCCTACAGAGAGGGCATAGTCAGGACAAAGCCCTTAAATGCCAATGGCTTGAAGTGTTTAAGGAACCACATGCAGGATATTTGGCTACAGGGCTGTAGGCAGGAGGAGACAGGCCTCAGGATCTACAGGAGGAGTCTAAAGAACGAGCAGGACTTGAGGGATGGCAGGGGAAGAGGTGGGCTGCAGAGCATCGTGGGCGGAAAGAACAGCATCCACAAAGGCAAAGAAGTTTAAAACAGACTCGTATATGTTTGGGTGACTCTAGGGAATTCATTTCTTCTGGGTTCCATGCACAGCCAAAGACGAAATCTAGAGTACTATACAGGTAAACTGGTTTTTTTCTCATGAAACTTCCAGCATCTTATTTTGTTGCAATTGAGAAAGGAGAACCGTCTCAGTAGAAAACACATCTTCAGGGAGATCTATAATCAACCGACCAGAAGAAACTATACTAAAAAGTATATTCTTAGAAGATTCAAGGATGATGTATATTTGAGCTCCTGTTAAGCTCAGAAGGTGGGAAGCAGATGCAACCCTGCACATTTCTATTCCAAACACAACCTTGGATACAAAGCAGTCACCACTTCCGTTTCAGACACTGATTGAGGGAGTCACAGTGGAAAGCGGGGGTTCAGTCCCAACTTTTCTTTGCCCAGTGCCATTTTCACTGCTGCCCAGTATCTCAGGGACTCATTTAATGCACGTGCCTAGAATGATCCTTGCTGTCCATTTATTCCATGGACCTTGCCTTCTACAGCTTTCCTCTGGCTTTATCGGTCTTTTCCTGGGCCCACTTATAACTTAGAAAATATATTTTTCTTTATTTTCCTCTCAGCTAATCTTTTTTTTTTTTTTTTAAGATTTTATTTATTTATTTGACAGAGAGATCACAAGTAGACAGAGAGGCAGGCGGAGAGAGAGGAAGGAGCAGGCTCCCTGCTGAGCAGAGAGCCTGACGCGGGACTCGATCCCAGGGCCCTGAGATCATGACCCGAGCAGAAGGCAGCGGCTTAACCCACTGAGCCACCCAGGCGCCCCCTCTCAGCTAATCTTAATACCATGTTTTATTCAGGCTGGTCTGTGGCTTAACAAAGTCTTCCCTCTACCTAAAAAAAAAAAAAAAAAAAAAAAAAAAAAAAAATGCATATCCAAACAAACTCAAACATGGGATTAACATGCTTGGACACATCTCTTTCTCCATAGTAACTGAGTCCCCAAGGAGTGTCTAAGTCTTTGGGAATCTTGACAGACCAGAATTTTTGTAACAGTTGAGACCCTGTTATCAGTAGAACCAGGTTCTTCAGAAAAGGCAGTGCTAAATTCGCAATAAGGAATTTAATTTAGGTTCACCGTTTATCTAGCAAATGGTGACATATGAGTAACTTTTCAATATGTGTGTCATAATGGCTTGCTGCTGACTGACAGTAGGCCCAAAGAGTGAAACCATTTGGAGACCAACTCTTTTATGCCTCACACAAGAAAGCACCATGAAGTATATACCAAGATAAACTATTCAGGAGGAAATAAATGAAGGGTGGAATTTCCTTCCACTAACAAAGATGGGTTTGGCAGTCTTATGCCACAAACCTCTGGTACGTATTCCTCACCTACCAATGGAAACATAGTTAAGAGAGCCCTGGAGAGTTAAGAGGCTGTGAATGAGGTTGAAAACTTCTGACTAAACAATGCTATCTGTTCCAGAAGCCATTTACCTTTTAACTCTGGGGATGTTCTATATATGCCCAGTGTTTTCTAGAACTTTTCTATTAGGTGGCAAAAATCAGTGGTGTCTACAAATGTCAGGGTGTTCCTGACCTTGAACAATGACATGAATAGTTATTGTTTCTTGAAAGGCTGATTTTGTTTTTTGTTTTTGTTTTGTTTTGTTTTTGGCAAATGGCAAATCCCTAACATAGGAAAAAGGACATTTTACAATGTGAACAAAAACTAAAGGCAAGCTAGAAGGCAAGGGCTGGCCAGGCTGCTAAAAGAAAACACCTGGGAGAAAGCTGGTCTCAATTTTTATGTGCAAATCATTTCTAGAGACCACAGCCCAGGGGCCTGCACTCAGCAATCTTCACCTTCCTGAGAACAGTAGAGATTGCGGAGAAGTAAATAAACATGGTTAGAAGGAGAAGATGAGCCAATACCAGGCAGGGGCCAAGAAACAGCATCAAAGTGCAAAGCACCAAAAATGAGTAAATATCTTTTTGAAGATATTATTTATTTGAGATAGCAAGAAAGCGAGAGAGCATGAGAGCTCAGAAGGAGAGGTGCAGGAAGGCAGAGAGAAGCAGACTCCCCACTTGGTAGGGAGCCCAATATGGGACTCGATCCCAGGACTCTGGGATTATGACCTGAGCTGAAGGCAGCCGCTTAACTGACTAAACCACCCAGATGACCCCCCAAAAATGACTAAATATTTTATTTCCATTTTCCATTGTTCCTTTTTACCCATGCTTAAATAAAAATTTTCAGAGCTTAAAACGTGCTTTTTTAAATAACACCGACGTTGTGAAATAAGCAAGCACAAATGTTATTCAGCTGCCATGATTAAAAATGAAATTAATATCAGAGTTACCTGAAATTCTAATCCATAGTTTTCTCTGCAGAATTCTCTCAATTTAGGATACACATTTTCTCTTAGTGCCTGTCTTTCTGCTCCCGTGTCTGTGGTAGAAAAACAAACACATAGAAAGGAAGTTATGTCCACACATAGGTATTTCTGGAAAAAAATGTAAGCTTACAAGCTAATATTAGCACTAACACAACAATCCAGTTGGGTGCCGACTGTGAAATGATTGGATATGTGACTCCTGGGGGAGCAGGGAGACCACTGCCAGACGTAAGAGCCCATGGGATGGATGGGAGCCCCCATGGTCAGGTCCATGTGTGCTGGCAGAGTGGGGAATTCACATTTGAGTCTTGATGCCCACCCAGACCCTCCATGATCTCTTAAGTAGCTGGACCACGCTGTCTTCGGAAGAGGCAGAAGGAAAAACCATAGGGCTATCTGCTATCAGGTGTTTTAGCCCCATGACGTGTAAGAGCTACATCACACACACGCATTGCACACACACGTTAATTTACTGATTCCAAATAGTATCTAAAATCTCTATCATTTGTATCATATTTACAAATAATTCGACTTCTACAAAATTCAGTACAGTATCCATGCAATCAGTACAGCAGTTAGGAAAGACAAGTCGTGGGAGCCAATTTCCACACAGCAGATCCCCATCTGGTGGATTTGACTGGCCAGCGGTCACCTTAGGCACCGGGGCTGCCTGGTGTAGGGCTAATTGCTTCCTGTGTAAATACTTCAAAAATCACTATTTACTATTCATGTCCTTAATAAAAACATACAAGAAGAAACAGAACCTGAAGCCAGAAGAACCACAGAATATATACTTAATCTTGATTGTGTTACACAGAAAGGGGTTTATTTCTGAAGCCCCCAGTGCTTGGTAATGCTCTGTATCAAGGATGATGCTATAAAATGTTTACAAGCAAAGCGAGGCTGTTCCTTGCTCCAGTACCTTCAGTGAAAGAGGAGGACTGCGATTTTAAAATCAGGTTAATGTCTTCTCTCATGAAAAATGCTATTTGCTAAATGTACCTCAAACCCAACGTAACTATGAAATATTTGCATACCACATTTATAACTAAAAGCCAGTTTCAAAGACTTTCCTTATTATTCTCAAGTTCATCTGTCCATGCAAATTCGACCATATGCTGTGCTGACCTACTCTACTTTCCGACTGTTCTCAAGACTACTTCAAGACGGAAATAACCAATCTCAAGAGTCTGAAATGCAGTTGCAACCTCACAGAGTGGCAGAAGCCAGTGTTTACCAGGAAACCAAAGACTCACGAGGCTTCTAGGTTACCCCGTGGTCCAAATGGATAGGGTCTTTTCTAGCCAGGGATCCAACACGGACCTGAAGTCCAAAGCAGGAGGACCATGTGGAGGAGGGGTGCATCTTAGCAGCACCCTCGTGTGGTCCCAGCCCCGTGGAGGTCGTATATGCAGTGTTTACATGAGCGATATCATCTAAGGACACGAGGCCCACTCTCCATCCCATTTTAAGGGTTGAAAACATTAACTTCGCAACAAAACTAATTAACATTCAATCGATCTCTCTAGAAGGCTATGGGTATTTAAAACACAAACAACAGAAGTCACTTAAAAAATAAGCAAATACTACCAGATGCAGAAGCTGGGAATAATATGCATAATATGAATAGTAAAATTGTTTTATTACATAATTAAACAGGATTAAGAGATGGTAAAATAGCATCAAAATAACACATGGACACATTTTTTTATTTCGTAAAAATGTTAATTATAACTCATGACTAGATACTGCTGTCTGAATGTGGCATAGTTTGATGATCAGACAGAGACAGAGTCTGTAATATTTACTGAGCGCTTACTATAGTCATGTACTAAGTATTTCTATGTGTATGTTCTTAGTCACTTCTGTCAACTCTATGAATAGGTAGAATTACTATTCCGTTCTTTAAAAAATATTTTTTTTATTTTCTTAGAGAGCACAAGCTGAGTGAGGGGGAGAGGGGAAGGGAGAGAAAGAATCAGAGGCAGATTCCGCACTGAGTGCAGATGAGCCCAACACGGGATGCCATCCCATGACCCTGAGATCACAACCCACGCTGAAATCAAGAGTCAGACGCTGAACTGAGACACCCAGGCGCCCCACTAGTCCACTGTTCTTAGAAGAGGAACCTGAAATACAGAGGGGTTAAGAGACTTGCCCGACGTCATATGACCTTTAACTTGGAGAAACCAGACTTGAACCTAGAGAGCCATTCGAATCTAGAATACTCCATAGTTTGCTCTAACCAAAAAAAAAAAAAAAAAAAAATCTGCATTGGTGCAAAGACTCAATCTTCGAAAATGACGCATTGGATACCTTCATGGAATACTTAAGGGATGCTGAACTCCCTTTTTTTTTTTTAATTTTTTCAGTGTAACAGTATTCATTATTTTTGTACCACCTCCCTGTTCCCACTCTAACGCCCTTTTATCCGTTCTCCACAGAGAAGCCTGACTGATCTTTTTATAAATGCAAATCAGATCCCATAAAGCACTCCCCAGCAGTTCCACAGGGCACCTGGAATGAAATCCACACTCCTGACCTTGGATGTTTTCCCTCTCCCAAAGGGATCTCACACCACTACGCAGATGATACCCCTACTCATGGCCTTCCCTCTCGCTAGGACTTCCTCCTGTAATGCTTGTGATCATCTCATGGCATCTCCTGCCATTCAGGTGTCAGCTTTAGAGCCACCTTCTCAGAGAGACCTCTCTGAGCCCTCCACACACTCAACCGACTCTCTGTCCTGTTGCCTTTCAAATTCTTTCCACGTTACTCATCACTACCGTTGCTATTTGTTTACTATCAGTATCCCCCATGACAACATGAGCTCAGAAAGAGTTATAACCTTCTTCTGTCTCATTCGTTGCTACATCCCCAGTGATCAGAGTTGTGCTCAACTAAGAAATGAGTGAATGAAAAAAAATGCCACACATGCACCAGTGACCAGAAGGAGCTGACAGGCAAGGCTTCTCTGTAATTACCTCCAGAAACAGAAGGGCTTGCTACATTACAATTTGTCCTTGGATGGACACAGAATCAAGAGTATGGGAAATTCTGGGAAATAAACGATAGGGTTTAGAAAGGTGGTTGGTTTCATGAGGTAAGTGAATGACAACTGAAATACTGATTTCTTTTTTGGTTTCTGTGTTTCTGGCAGAACACTAACACATTTTACCAAATTATGTTGAACCTTCCCAAAAGTGTGAAGGGAGTGTATGCACATATCGGACAGATATTCTGTGTTATTACTTGTGTTACAAAAATGACTCAGATTTTCCTGTATTTGTATTAATATGTGATGATTGGCTCTGGAAATGGAAAAGTAATTAAGATAGAATGGATTAATTATAATGGGTGACGGATAAGCTGGCTTAATTATATTAAAAAACCTGATTCATACTAACAGCAAATCCGGATGGTTGGCAATTAAGTAACATCAGAATGTCATAAACAGGAAAAATTAAGTTGCAGAATGTCACACATAAAAAGGGACCTCTTAAAAAAGTACAGATCAGAGACAAGGTATGGCATCACTGACTCTACACAGTCATCAAATCCATTTTTATCTGCCCAGTTCCTTATCCCTTTGAGAAGACGCATTAACATGTGGGCAGCACCACTACTAGGTTTTAAAGGAGTTGTGTTCTAAATAATTCCTCACTGATTTCAGAGTTAATGACTAGTCTCTGTGCAGTGTGTGAGTTACTCACAGGAAGAGCCTTAGTTGAGTGTTTTTTTCTAATTCAATTAACCAACATATAATACATCATTAGTTTTTGATGCATTGTTCAATGATTCATCAGCTGCATATAACACCCAGTGGTCATCACATCATGCGCCCTCCTTAATGCTCATCACTCCGTTGCCCCATCCCCCTGCCCATCTCCCCTTCGGTAACCCTCAGTTTGTTTCCCAGAGTCAAGAGTATGTCATGGTTTATCTCCCTGATTTTTTCCCATTCAGGTTTCCTTCTCTTCCCCTATGGTCCTCTGTGCCATTCCTTACATTCCACATGAATAAAACCATGATGGCTGTCTTTCTCTGGTTGACTTATTTCACTCAGCATAATCCCCTCCAGTTCCATCCATGTCGATGCAAATGATAGGTATTCATCCTTTCTGCTGGCTGAGTCATATTCCATTGTATATATGAATCATATCTTTATCCATTCATCTGTTCAAGGGCATCTTGGCTCCTTCCATGGTTTGGTTATTATGGATATTACTGATAAGAACATTGGGGTGCAGGTGCCCTTTCTTTTCAGTACATCTGCATCTTTTGGGTAAATACTCAGTAGTGCAGTTGCTGGGTCATAGGGTAGCTCTATTTTTCATGTCTTGAGGAACCTCCATATTGTTTTCTAGAGTGGTTGTACCAGCTTACATACCCACCAACAGGGCAAGACGGTTCTGAAGGAGTATTCTTAAGACCATTATTCCACTTCATGAAGGCTTTAGATTAATTCCAAATTGCTATTAAAAAAAAAATCGTTTAGGATCCAGCACACATTCTTTGCTACGACTGCTGTTCCAGTTAATGAATGCTGTTCCAGTTAGTTCTCCCAGGTTTCTATACTTACTTCTGCCGGGTTCTCCCTCTTCACTCACGTGGCCTGTTAGCTCATGATTCATCTGAACATCCTATTTGGTTTTTGTTGTTTCTGTTTGGGTTGATTTCTTGTTTGGCAACTTCCCAGAGGGTGTCTCCTCTCCACATCTTCTAGGCCCTCTGTGCCCAACCAGCCACGCTGACCCTTCCTTACATAAGTGTTAACAAATCCTGTTGATTTTTATCACAAACAACTTTTGAATTTGGCCAGTCTCTAGTTTTGCACTCATCATCTCTTAACCCTGAGGGTTCAAAAGTCTCCTATTTGACTGACTTGTTACCTATCCTTCCTCACTGCAGTCTTATGCTCCACAGAGCTGCTGGAGAGAAATCCAAGACAAACCAAAAGCAGTAACTAATTTCATCAATAAAAGGACTTGGCTGGCATCTGATGGCTCAGAAGATAAAGACCAGAATGTTCAGCAGATGTAAATGTGTTTTC